TGGACAATGTGCCCAGGGCCTTCAGCAGCCTACGCAGGCCACCTAAGCACTCAGCAAGCACCTTTTTCCAACACTATATAGATAACACTTGGAACCAATGGTTTAAAAAACGAATCGGTGACCAGAATCGGGCACCTCAAAAACCGATCCGGATCTGCGAATCATTGATCCGGATCGAGAATCGGTTGAATCGGTCAGATTAAAGCTTCAAACAAATCTGAAAAAATTATTAAAATTCATTATAAATATTGTTTTTTAGGAATTCAATAAGAAATGAGAGTACTCCATTAAGAATTTTCATTTCTTTGCATGAATATACGAATATTGATATGTTCTTTCCCTGCATGAACTACTATTTACCATTTAATTTACATCACACAAAAGGATAAACATATAATTATCATGGAATAAGTATATCAACATACATGGACTATAATAAAGCATGCAATTAATAACATACAAACTAAAGAAAAAATAACAGACGACGTCGTCTTTCTTCTTGGTCACGATGGTGCCATTGATTGAATTCGTTTGACAATTCATTGATTCGATCTAAAAACGAATCATCGATATTAGAAGGCGTCTAACTATACCCAAATCCCTGAGTGTTAGTGTTCTGTTGTGTTCCCAATAAAAAATCCCGAAGCTTGTCCATCCTTCATGCTCACCTACACTATCGTGCTCATCCCTACCCTGTTGTTGTTGGGACTCGATATGTGAATAATATGGCTGGGATAGGGTGGCCTCAGAATCATCATCTCTCTCATTTTCCCTTAGACCCCCTTCCCACTCTCCCTCATTAAGTGCAATATGTATTTTCCTCACGATAATACAATTTAACAACATGTATTTTTTGTGTTCAAAATTTTAAAAATTGAAATTACGGTTTTAATGCAAAACTAACATTAAAAATATAATACAGTTTTGCATTAAAAATATAATAACATGTATGTTTTTGCATTAATATTCTATCAACATGCAATTTTTTCAACAAAAACTTTAACAATAAAAATTAAAAATATGGTTTAATACCTCATGATAATCAAAACCTGGTCACTATTTTCACATCTTTTCGGAAAATCACGATTTTTCAAAAAAAATCGATCATGTACTAAAAAAAAAACAAATAAAAACAATTCTTCACATAGCCACCTAACATCAGTCATTCCAACTCAAAAATGCATTAACAACAAATTAAAAAAATACAGTTTTGCATTAAAAATATAATAACATGGATTTTTTTGCATAAATAATCTATCAACATACAATTTTTTCAACAAAAACTTTAACAATACAAATTAAAAATATGGTTTAATACCTAATAATAATCAAAACCTGGTCACGATTTTCACATCTTTTAGGAAAATCATCGTTTTTCAAAAAATTCGATCAAGGATAAAAAAAAAAAGTCCAGCAAACTCAAACAATAAAAATTAAAAATATGGTTTAATACCTCATGATAATCAAAACCTTGTGACGATTTTCACATCTTTTCGGAAAATCACAAATTTTCAAAAAATTTGATCATGGATTACAAAAAATCATAAAAAATAAAAAAATAAAAAAAAAAGTTATGTTCTTCAGAGAGCCACCTTACATCAGCCATTTCAACTCAAAAATCCACCTCCAAACAAATAAATTACATCCAATTGAGTACATGTTTTGATAAACAACACTATAAGGAATCAAAACCCTAAATTATGAACACATTATCATCGATAAATCAAATCAAATCGATTAAATTGAACCAAAAAAAAAAAACACAGTTCTTCATAGACAACAGTCATTGAATTTAAAAAATGAAGCTCAAATTAAATAAATCAGATCAAATTGAATACATCTTATTATAAACAAGACTATAACGATTCAAAACCCTATAAATCTAACACATTATTTGTAATATATCGTGAACAATAGATCGAAAAGCGGAAAAAAAACAAAGAACAGCATAATTTTTTTTTTCACAGACATCACTGTGTTCTTCTAAAACCTCAGGCTGTAATTGTGTAAATTAAATAAAATTGAACATGGTAAATGATAAAAGACACGATAAAGATTTAAAACCATACAAATTTAACTGATTATTTTCAAAATATGGACTGAAATTGATCAAATGGCGGAAAAAAAAAAAACGCAGAGTTCTTACCTGGTTTCGTGAACCCCGTGGCTTCAATCTCCAAATTAATCTATTTTTCTCAAAGATAATCACAAATTCGTAACAGAAATTTCTAATGAACACATTTACGATCAATATGCCTCGAACGTTTTACAGATTCATGCCCTATTTGGCATGAAACAAAACGAAAAGCGGAAACCCTAAAACCCGCAATTTTCATGATTCAAAAACTTGAAATTTTTCCACCATTTAATGCATGAAAGGCTGAAAAAAGCTGCATAAAGCCTGAATATTCCATCACATGGTAAAAAAAACAAGAAAAATGATCAAAAAAAGATAAAATTTGAAGAAACTCGTGAAGAACACTATGCAGCCCGTGTTCTTCACGGGACTCGCCGATTCGGTAAAGTGAATTGGCGATTCATTGTACAAAATTGCCCGGTTCTCTCTGGAATCGGGCGATTCCGTGTAAAATACCGGAACCGGCATGGACTGTGCCGATTCCCCAATCGAACCGGGCGAGTCCGGTTCGACTCGGCGTTTTTTAAAACACTGCTTGGAACCCTTGCATGAACCTTTTTCTGGCCAAGGGCTCCATTGGACCACCTAGGCAACGTCAAAATTGGGCACCACCTAAGGCCTATTCGGTTTGGACAGCTCCTTTGCCACCTAGGCAAATTTTTATTCACTGCATGGCTGACAGAGTTGCAAACAATTTTTCTCATTCACTAGGACAATTTCTCTGCTTCATGTATATGAATATCAAGTGTCGTCCCCACGTAATTCATTATTAAGCGAAAAGAAGAGGGCTCTTGCAAAGGTTTCTGGCTCATAAAGGAGGTGTAAGAATTCATTACTGGTCAGATCTCTTGGTGGGCCACACTCCGCTCAGGGATCTGTTCCCATCTCTTTTTACTTTTGAAACCTCGGACTACCTCTCTTTGTCTTCTATGTTGCATTCAACATTCCTCGCCCTCTCTGGCCTTGATAGCCTGGTGTGGACCCCTCCCCATCAGGCTCCTTCTCGGTAGCCTCCTTTTACATAAAACTTTTGCAACCTCCCACTTTCCCCCACTCTCCGATCTCTATAGCCTCTAAGGTATGGTCTTCAATAGCCCCACCAAAAGTGCAAGCTTTCATTTGGATAGCGTGCTCTGAAAAAGCTCTCACATTTGATCAACTTCAACGGAGGGGTCCCATTCCCAATCATTGTGTTATGTGTCTCTGTGAAAAAGCGAGCAGCCCTCACCTTTCTATCCATTGCAATCTTGCCCTCAATCTGTGGAGTCAACTTCTTCGTCTTTTCAGCCTAACCTGGGTAACACCCACTTCCCTATCGGCCCTCCATAAATTCTTGATGAACTCTCCATGACCAAAGGCGGGCAGGCTTTTATGGAAGGCCTCCATAGCGACAACTATCTGGGTTATCTGGACCGAAAGAAACTCAAGGATCTTCCGAGGAGTCAAGTGCATGCTTCAGCACTATTCCGCAAAATTACCTCAAGTCATTTTCTAAGCTTCTAACCACAAGGCATTCAAAGGTATAACGGCTTCGACTTTCTTACAAAATTGGGAATACGTCCTCCATTCCACTCCCATCGGGTCTCACGAGCTAACAACTGGTCTCCTCTTCCGGCAAGCCCCACAAAACTCAACTTTGACGGGTGTTCTCTAGGAAACCCAGGACCAGCAGGAGTGGGTGGGGTCTCCAAAGACCACCACGGCAACGTCCTGATCTCTTTTTCCAAGTGTATTGGCCATGCCAACTCCCAACTTACCGAGTCTACAGCTCTCCTCTTGGGACTCAAAATGTTCGACCCCGAGTAGGGACAACCACTGATTGTTGAAGGAGACGCCCAAAACATTATCACTTGGGCTGCTGGAAATGCTCCTCCCCCTGGTACCTTGCTTCGATTTATAACGAGATTATGCACATTTGCAGGGATACAGCCGTCTTATGGAGGCATACCTAGAGGACATCAAACGCCCTGCCCTGGCGGACCAACTGGCTAAGGAGGGCCGTCGCACGCTTCGCGAGTTCATAAGAGCATGGGGTTCTTTTGGCACACCTTTGTATTTTGGTCCCATCTTTAAAGGACTTTTGGACTCTCAAGATCCACAGTTTCTTTCTTTCTTAAATCTTATGTAATGGGCAACTGCTATAAGCCCCACCCAATTTTTGTATAGGCCTACTCTTTTTGGGGAAGCCTATATTTTACCGAGAGGCCTGGCCTATGGGCCCTCTCAACAGTAGTCCTTTCTTTTACTTAAAACAACAGTTACCCGCTTCAAAAAAAAAATCCGCCACAAGCCTCATTGACATAGTACATGTCAACTATAGGACACGAAAGTCCATAGTCGACTAGTGGACTAGAACAGAAAATTAAGTATAATTCATTCATACACAAAAAGTTCAAGCAATAAAAAAAAATGACGAATTTTGATTATTATAACTCATTCATACAATAAAAAAGTTCAAACAATCAAAAAAACATGACAAGGTTTGATTCCTATAAAGGACCCCATCAATTTTATAAATTCTAGGAAAATGTCAACGACGAATGCAAGCAAAAGGAAAAGATGCCCAAGAACTTTCAGAGTATGGACAAAAGAAAGGAAAAGGTGCATGACATGTGATACAATGAGAATGAACATTAGACAATATTTAGGTCAAAATCCTAAATGGCCAAACCATTTAAGCACATATTTGCAGAACTATGAAAACCAAAATGAACACGGTATGGTTATGGAAGCTTCAAATAAATAGTAGACAATATTTCGGTCAAAATCCTGATAGAAAACAACTGAGGAAGCAAAATAGAAAGTATAATGCACAGCTTAAGCAAAACATGCCATCCAGTTTTGTGAATCTTGTTAGAAGTACCTGAAGTGCAACATCCTCTAATGTACTTCGAAATAAGTTTGTTCCAGTAGTAATAGCCTGTTTTGCAACTGCAGGGGTATCATCCTTTAAAAATGATATCAAAACAGGTACCATTTCAGGCAAAAATTGCCTGTGCTTCAACCCAATCTCTCCAATCATCCTACATAGCACGTAAAATACAGATTAATGGATGTTTCTTTTCCACACGGCGCCCAACCACCACGAAAACAAACTCATAAGTAAAAACCAACCATAATGGAATAGACCACCTTGAATCCATATATTATGCTTACTTAAAATGTCATGGAGAAAAGGCCTCATTTTTCTAGCAATGACTAAAACCAATGTTTTAAAAATCGGCGAGTCGCAACAAACTCGCCCTAGTCGACATAGGAATTGGCCACCCCGTACCGGGAATCACCTGGTTCTAGAGGAGAATCGCCGATTTTAAACCATAAATCGTTCATATGACATCATAAATCACGATTCTAAGCGAACTATGACGTCACAAGTCGACGAGTCACTGGATAAGCATATTTTGGTAATTTAGTTTAAAAACATGGACTGCAGGTGTACTTCAACCCATTTTCTTGATAACATTGACGATAAGGGTATTGAAGAGGTATTTATAGCTTTCAAAGTTTGTCTAATTCTTCGATGTGGGATTTGAGCCAAGTGATATAATGTTGAAACGTTATTTAATATAAATCTTATTATACAAAGTTATGCAACAACCTGCGATGGGGTGCTGTGGTTATCATTTACGGTTCTTCCGAGAATGTCCCAAGGTCGAACCTTCGGAACGCTATCTTGCATTTTTATTTTTTGTCTTCAAAAAAAATTATTGTCTTCAAAAAAAATAAAAAGAAGAAAATAATATCATCAAAAAAATAAAAGGAAAAAATAAGTTTTACTTAAAAAAGGTAATACAACATCTTCTTTTTTTTCTTGTAAAAAAAAGTAATAAAACAAGTATTTCTTGACAATAAAATAAAATAAAAGGTACTTTCGCAGCATCATTTTCTTATTTTCTTGCAAAAAAAAAAAGTAATACAACAAGTACAAAAAAAGAAAATACAACATCTTCTTTTTTTTCTTGTCAAAAAATAAAATAAAAGGTATTTCTTAATACAACCTAGGAATAACTGATCTAATTATAATTTTTATTTTTATAACATGGTAATCTTTAACATAAATTTAGGAATATTAATTTTAAGATAGGGTTCATACAATGAGACCATTTGAAATCTCTCTCTGTCTCTACTAACAATCTCTTCCACTAAATTTATTCTAGAAATCTAAACAATTAAATTTTTGAAAAATGAAAGTGTTATTTTGAAAATTGGTACACATTCTACAAATTTCTACATTGATAACCAAATATTTTATTTTTTTATTAATTTATTTGCATTATAAATCATGTAATGTACTATTTTCCTTACAGTTGTCAATAATACAGTTTAACTTAGATGATATTATAAGATATTTTGATTTTGTTATTATTTATATAATAAAATAATTATAAAATGCAAACCAACATTATCAATTTCAGTATACAATATTGTAGTTAGTTAGGTTGTAATAATTTTGGATTAGAGTTAGTTAGGTTGTAATAATTTGGGTTTTTTTTTTTAGCGGATTAGGGTTTTCTGCCAATTCGAGATTTTAGTGACCATTTTTTCATCGATTTAATCCATTCTTTATTGTAGTCTACGTATGATTATATACTTTATCCATGATAATTCTATGTTTTTTTTTATGTGATGCAAATTTAATGGTTAACATAAGTTCATACAAGGAAAGAACATCTTAATATTCGCAAATTGATAAAAAAAATAAAAGTTCATAGTGTAATACCCGCATTTCTTATTGGATTCCTAAAAAAAACATTTATAATGAATTTTAAAAATTCTTTTGGATTTTTTTTAAGGTTTAATCGGACCGATTCGGCCGATTCCCGATCCGGAGGGCTTTTTAGGGTGCCCAATCCGGGGCACCGATCCGTTTTTTAAACCACTGACTAAAACGATTTGTTCTTTTGATTCACTTGATAATATTCAAAAAAGGGCATATTCAGAAAAGGGCATAGGGCAAAGACCCAAGCACCCATGTGGGCGCAGCATTTTATGGCCATAGCAATAAAACTCATTTATACTTGCACCTGAATGGGTGGCATGCCAACTCAGCATGCTGCTATTCACAGTGTAAAGGAATGGAACTTCCTTAGGGAAAAATGCCACTGAAATGGGACGTTTTTGCCATTATTTTTCAAAATAATATCAGTATCACCAAAATCTTGGCCATTGGTCAACTTGATAGCAACCATTGAAAAGTGCCTATTTCACGATTGCCCATGAAGGCAACTAAAAATAATGTCTTGGATATAGCTACCAGGATGTATTGTCAGGCCCCATTTGGACGTGCAAAATTTCAGGAATAGTGCCCCCCTTTGTCCACCCATTTAAACCTTATAGACATCGCAGCTTGATCTGCCAGTATCCCCAAGGGAGCCTATTCTTTTAACCTCACTTATATAACAGTGGAACCAAAACATCTATTAAGACAAAGAAGAACATGTTTTTCTCTATCCCCCATAAAAAAAAATATTGTTTTCCAGGAGTACCCATAAACACAAGCAAGGTTTCAAAAGTCAGCTTTCCTCGACGCGTTGAGGTAGACTGGAAGCTAGGCAAGACACCTAGGCACACCCCCCCCCCCCCCCCTCACCCCTGCCGGACACCCTCCTAGGTAGCTAAGGCACCACCTCCCTTTTAGGGGGTATCCCAGCCACCAAAACCCATTTGTGAGTGTTTAGAATGAGAAATTCCTATAATAAGAATTTGTGATTTTTTTTTTAAAGATTGAAATCTTTTGGGTTCTTTTTTTAAAGAAAGCAATAGATTATCAGACTCGAAGAGGTGTTCTCAAAACAAAAGCTCACCAATCCAAGCCAACTTTGATCAAGTTTCCCTAGGTGAGCGTATTTCATTTTGGTTTTGTGTTTGTTCATATACTTTTCAAGGTTGGTTTTTGGTTTTGTTTGTCTTTTTCTACATTACTTTTGTTTTTTGTGTTTTTTCTTAAGCATAGGTATGGGTTTTTTTCCATTTCCACGATTGGGTTTTGGATTGGTTCAGTTGACATTTTTTTTAAATTGGATATAGGTTCTGTGATTTTTTTTCTAGTTTCAAATTACAGTTTTAAACTTTTGGCTCTTTAAATTTTTCCTAGTATAGGTTTGGGATTTGGATTTTTGATGACTTTTGTAAAGATTTTGTTTTGGTTTAGAGACCTTTTCAAATGTTTGGGTTTTGGTTTTATGATGTTTTCCAAGTTTTGGAATTTCGATTTTTGGATTTTTGTTTTGTCAAATTTTTTTCATACAGATTTGGGTTTCTTGATTACTTTTCTCAAGATATGATTTTGGTTTAGTGAATTTTTCCAAACATTTGCTTTTGGTTTTATAATTGTTTTTCTAGTTTTGAATTTTTATGCTAACCTTCTTGTTTTCTAAATATTTTCTAGTATTGATTTGGATCTCTTGATGATTTTTTCTGTTAAGATTTGGATTTTGATTTATTAACTTTTTTTCAAGGAAAAAGTTTATATAAGTGCAAGGCTCTAAACAATCAAATTAGGGCGCAACTCAAAAATTTCACTAGAAGAGGTTGTTTTGATGCGCAAATATCCTCAAATTGATCATCTTGACCTCAAGAAAAATGGATATAAGAAACAAATGGGTTTCAAGTTTTGGAAATAGTGCATCTTGTACTGCATTTTTGAACCGTCAATTTTCAAGTTTTCATAGATCTGCTAGATTTTATATATCTGCTTGATCTACACTACGTTTAAAGCTTTAAATTTTATAATTAGAGATGAAAATATAGTTTAAGGCTATCACAAAGATTTCCAGTATTGAAACCACATTTGTCAACACTATTTAAAGGTGCGCTTTACTTTGATTTTTAGAGCCTTGGCCTTATACAAATCGCACCCTTTTTTCAATATTTGGGTTTCGTTTGTGTACTTTATTCAAGATGAATTTTTGTTCTCTTGCATCTTGTATGTATTCGAGACTGCGTTTTGGTTTTGTGAATTCTCCATGTCTCATTGTTAGTTTATTACTTTTGGTTAGTATGTGACGGTGCCATCTTCCAATTCAATTAAACAAGGTGATCTAGATCAGAATATGCCTCTTTGCCTAATCCAAAGATAGAAAACGGAATGAATGCAAGTTTAATAAAAATATTCATAATGCCAACATACATCAAGTAAATAAATAATTGTCCAATACTAGAGAGGGTGCAGCAAGGAATACCACCCAATGTTTGGAGAGAAATGTTGGTCCATTTGGAGGTTGGCTACCAGCAGAATGAGAACAAGAGGAAGAAATATAAGGCGATTGTGAGGTCAGTGATGTTTTTTGAGAGGAGGAAGAAGATGAAAATTATTATGTTGAGGAAGAGGAACCCAAGATGGGCTCAGCTAGAATTAGTAGTTAAGGGAGTTTCAGCATAAGAAGCCTCGCACATAGGGCCATCTGATCCCAAGGTTGTAGTTAGAGACTAGAAGTAGACAAGTATAAAGAACTGCTTTGAGAAGGAAGATAGGGGCCTGCTATATCAATACGTGACAGATATACCAAGTGGGCATTTCTTTCAATGCCGGTAGATTGAAAAGCTTCCAAGCAATGGGACAATTTGGGCCCTTTTTTTTACTCTTTGGGTTGGGTGGTTGGGTGGGGGGGGAAGGCGTCTACTTGGTGAACCCTTGCTTAAGAAGGAGGTGAAGCTCAGAAATGGATATTCGAAAACCACAGGGATGCATGGGGAAGTACATTCATAACAATAACAGATTCATGAACAAATCGGAGGGGGAGAAGTACCACAAAATTTATGGTGAATTGTCCAAGGGGCCAATATTTTTGAAGTCCGTTAGTGCATTTCAGGAAACAAATAGTTCCAAGTTCATCGGCCTAGTGGACCGATGTATAAAGGAGTTCGGCGAGCAATATGTCATTTAGGTGGTTACAGAAATGGCTGAGGCCAATGTGCTGATTGCCACATTATTGAGGGTAAAGAAGCCGCATATTTTGGAAAACCTGCGGAACACATTGCTCCAACCTCATGAATGAGAAAATTAGTGAGTGAAAAACTGTAG